TTGAATCCAGTAAAGTTGATATCTCATCTCTTCTTCTCTGCTTTGTAGGCATATTACTTGGTGCTGTTCATGGAATTGTGGAGTCCCTGTTTAGAAGGTACACTGAAAATGGAATGAGTGAGGATTTGGCTTATAAAAACACTGTTGAATGTATAACTGGAATTGTGTCAAGGACCATCTCGGCTAAGGTACTGCCCACACATGAATTTCATTATTTGTAGTTTACATCTGTGTGTTCCTTGCACATATATGCTAGTATGTCAATTTAAGAACAAGTGGTCATTGTTTTTATTATTTTTCCCAACAGGGAATGTTAGAGATTTACAACTCTTTGTCTGAAGATGGCAAAAAGGAATTTGAGGCTGCATATAGCGCCTCATTTTATCCATGCATGGACATCTTGTATGAATGCTATGAAGATGTTGCCAGTGGCAGCGAGATCCGCAGTGTTGTCTTGGCCGGTCGTCGCTTTTATGTATGTTCTCCATCTGTTTTCAATTGGTGAAAGCCCAGATTTTGATTATTGTTGTTTAGAAGTACATGATTCTCAGAGTCATAGTTCTTTGAATACTTTAAGTAAACGAATATTAATGTCATGCAATTGATAATGAACATACCTTTGTTACAGGAGAAGGAGGGTCTGCCTGCATTCCCAATGGGTAAAATTGATCAGACCCGCATGTGGAAAGTCGGTGAGCGTGTCCGATCAACAAGGCCAGCTGGTGATCTAGGCCCATTACACCCTTTCACTGCGGGTGTTTTTGTTGCCTTAATGATGGCACAGGTACGAGCCTAACCCTTTAGAATGGGTGAGAATGTGACATTGCAAAAGAAGAAATTAGCTTCCAACAAGCAATTGTTCCGAGTTGCTTACACATGAATGGGATTTTTCCTTTTGTTCTGATCTCAGAGTGTAGTAGTCCATAATGATACGCATTTTCATACTTGCCAAAATTAATAACGTTTATTGTTGACTTTATATTGACACCAGACTAGTTAATTAAACAGTCCGAATAGCAAGTGCGTGCCTAAAAAATATTAAAATATTGGCAACAAAAGATTGGTATATGAAAGTATTTTGATGTTTTTACTTTTCTTAGACTAAGATGCATATCAGGTTTAGACCTATAGTTAAGAATGTGGATTTTGTGAAGGGTTATTTTTCTGTCAATGTATCTAGTCAAAATCATGAAACATCTACTTCAAATATATATTTTATGTCATCAACTAAACAATCAACACACGTATTGTTTCGTAATGCAAATATATATTCAGTTCCTTGGAACATAAATGCGGTGATGTTATTTTATCTTTGTCGTAATAGAAATAAATGATTTTGTTAGTAACTGGGGATAATTTCTTCTGCATTTGATTTTAATTGCTTTTATGAATTTTCAGATCGAAGTATTGAGGAAGAAAGGACATTCATATTCGGAGATCATTAATGAAAGTGTTATTGAATCGGTGGATTCTTTGAATCCTTTTATGCATGCACGGGGAGTTTCTTTCATGGTTGATAACTGTTCAACAACAGCTCGGTTGGGATCAAGGAAATGGGCTCCACGATTTGATTACATCCTTACTCAGCAGGCCTTAGTTTCTGTGGACAATGGTGCACCCATCAACCGAGACCTCATCAGCAACTTCATGTCAGATCCAGTGCATGGAGCCATCAAAGTATGCGCTGAACTGAGACCTACAGTTGACATTTCAGTGACTGCTGATGCAGATTGTGCGACCAGAGTTGCGTCAGAGCAACTAAAACTCGACGAACCTACTGCCTGAGCTGGCCTATGAATTCCGTTTGGTTCCATATTTAAGGTGTGTCGTTGTTTGTCCTAGTTTATTCTGTTTTTCCTGATCATGCGTACTTCATCACATTGCAAGTTGTGTTATGATTTTGTGGTAGTACTAAGTAGTTAAAATATTAATAATGTTACTGCGGATGGTGGTTCCTTAGAGAGGTCTGGTTATTGGTTTACGGATGTATTTTTCAATTTTTGCATTTCTAAAATTGGTGCTTCTTTTGCGGATACAATCTTGGACGCGATAATATAGGGCGTATATGGCACTGGCACGTTGTCCCAGTGGCGTCCTGCGCCAATAAAAAAAGACACGGAAAATTTTGTTAACATGTCCTGATTTCATTGACACGGGACATCATGTTGCGGTTTACCTGCCATGTAAAATCTCCATCGTCACTGATCCCTTGACCAATGGCGGAAAATCATTGGTCGATGTATAGTCCACATACCCCTATAACGACCTTTTTTTATAGGACTGACGTGAAATATTCTCCTCCAACATCAATGTAAACAGAAACAGGTAGATTAACAAGCCTTCATAGGCAGTTATATTGGTTGTGTGATGGGGCCTGGGTGTTGCATGTACCGTCTGACACCGGTGTGGCGGAGCTAATCTCGTGGTTTTGATTGATGAACTGAAAAGCACGCACCGTCAGGGTAGCCACCGCCACAACCTAGGTCTTCACCGCCGGTATCACAATCAACCACTTGTTGCTCGGACAAAGTTTAATTCACCATTTGTAACCTCAGTAATTCCTTCTACGGCTCCCGCTGCTGCAAAAGCCCAACAGCTGCCTGAATGGATGTTTGAAAGCAATGCCAACTTGGACCATATGTTATTACGAGTTCTTGAGAACCAGTATCAAATTTAAATGAGTACTTTTGGTGTCCTAATTTTAATCTTTCATATCAAATTTAAAGGTGTGTGATTACGAGTTCTTGAGAATCAATATTAAGGGAGCGAGTCTATTAAATTAAGATGAGAAATACCCATGCAATTATCATAATTATCTTATAAATATTTTACACATACAGGTTGATACATATCAGACTACCTACAAGGCATATAGCTAGTAGGTTTTGATTTAATTAACTAAGCTGTGGGGTAAGAGGCAGACATAGCAATCCCACAAAGTCCTTCAGCTGCAGCAACATCTCTTTGCATTCTTATGTACCCAGCTTCGCCCCATTCTGCACCCCATGAGTTCTTCACTAGCCAATACTTAGTCCCATCCTCGCTCACGCCATATCCAACAGCGGTAACACCATGGTCAAGACTCGTCCACAAGTTCCGGTGAAGACACCACTTGAATAGAATTGGAAGTCGGAACCGCTAGCATCGATGGCAACGGAAACAGGTTGATGAGCAACAGCGGTTAGAAGGGCCTTTTCACTATTTGCCGGCACATCCTCAAAGCCAGTTATCTTGGCTGCAATGATGGCTTCCTTCTTGGTGTTACATGTACCATCAACACCGTCGTAGGGGTAATTAGCTTCTGTGCTAATCCCGTGATTTTGTTGGATGAACTGGAACGCATTGTCCATCAAGCCACCCTCACAACCTTGGTCTTCACCAGCGGTGTCACAATCAACGAGCACTTGCTCAGACAAAGAGATCAATTTACCAGTTGTAAGCTGTGTAATTCCTTCAGTGGCGGCCACTGCTGAAAAAGCCCAACAACATCCTGTATTTTGATTGGAATCAAAAGTAGTTAGATTAAGGAAAAAATAAAAGATGAATATATATATATATATATATATATGTATATGTATATATGTATATAGTGTCTCTCTAAATTGATGACAAGAAACTAGACGTTTATGTACTTACCGCACTGGCCTTGGTCCTTAACGGGGGTTACAGCTCCTTTCTTTCTCCAATCCATTGTTGCTGGTAATGGTACGGTCACATTTTCATATTTGAAAGAAGAAGTCTTTGTGGAACATTCATGGCCCTTGAATCCATTTCTTGTGGCTTTGAACTCTTCATTTGTAAGGTCAGCAAATTGGTTGACACTTAATTTGTAAGGTTTATTTGCATCTTTATTAGAAAATTCTATAAACGCCACATTTTCCTTGAATATCTTGAAACGAGTTTCCTTCTCATTGGTGTCGTTATATATGCGACCATAACGAGCCAACCATTGCTTGTATCTCCCGTACATTGATGCATCTTGCAGACTGCGAGAAGTGGCTTCAGAAGACCAAGCTCCCAACATGAGGATCAAGCCCAAGCACATATACTTCCATAGCTGCAGGTTTAGGATCTCCATCGGTAGCTAGCTAGTGTAGCAGAAGCAAGCTGGGTTTTGGTAAAGGATATGATGATGAGCAGATATACTGAAATGGTAGACTTGCTCTGCGATTTATATACAACTCAAGGTGGTAGAGAGAATGGCGTTTATAGCAATTTCAGTGCCCCAAAAAATGATCAGCGTGGTACGTGCCTTAGAAAATATGATGATATAGACCTGTAAGATTATTATTAGTAAATTGACCTTTCATTTAATTTGGGACCTGATGCTTACCTTTTGTCCTTGTGTGCGTAATATACTTGTTCACATTGTGTTCTGAAATGTACTCGTGGATCCTCAGCCATCTTGGATTTTTATTTTAGTTAAGGATGGTTTGATAATCATTATTTTGTCTTTAGTTTTGTTTTATTTATTTGAAATATGAAAACCGAAATAGGTAGATTAGCAAAGCCTTGAGAAGGATCTGTAAGAAATTTCTGAAATCATAAGAAAAACAACGAGACATTAAGATTACGGATTTGATAAACTAAAATTATAATAAATTAATTACAATTTACTCATCTTTGGTATACTCTTGCGGATGACAAAAGAATCTTCTCCTTTCAACAAGTGGAAGTGTTCCAGCAATAATAGGGTTTGCTTGGAATCGAACGTGTGTGTTGTGAAAGTAGGGACACCCTTATTATAGTGATTAGTGTTCCTCCAATCTCACTTGTTATAGTAATTGGAGGAATACACCAAATCACTATTCAATCTTAATGGTGTCCCACAAAGGCATGTACAACATGTGTTACTTAATTAGGGTTTCAATTAGTCAACTAATATATCTTGGTTTATTGAATTACGTTAAAAATTAAATATATAAAAGATCAAGTTATTTGCTTTTTAAGTAGTTCGATTATAATAATTGACAACTCAACATGAGTTTTATAGGGCCTTCTCATTGCTTATCGGCACGTCTTCACAGCCAGTTATATTGGCTGTAGGAGGCCCTTCTGTGTTCCATGCACCGTCTAGCACCGGCGTTGGGGTCCTTGCGGAGGTAATCACATGGTTTTGATTGATGAACTCAAAAGCGCCGTCAAGGTAGCCACCACCACAACCTTGGTCTTCACCGCGGGTATCACAATCAATCACTTGTTCTCGGACAAAGTTTAATTGACCATTTGTAAGCTGAGTAATTCCTTCAACGGCTCTCGCTGCTGCAAAAGCCCAATAGCTGCCTGAATATATAGATGTTTGATTGCAAATCTTTTGATTAGTGGGAGGCCAATGCGAACTTGGACCATAGGTTCTTTTGGTCATCGGGTGACTAAGATGGAGAATAAATATGTGATTTTGGTTTTTAATCTTTCATATCAAATCTAATAGTGTGTGATCATGAATTCTTAGACACCAGATGACCAAGAAAGCAAGTCTATTAAATTTAGATGATAAATGTCCAACAATTATCTTGATTATCTTATAAATATTTTACGCATACAGGTTGATACATATCAGACTACCTACAAGGCATATAGCTAGTAGGCATTGATTTAATTAACTAAGCTGTGGGGTAAGAGGCAGACATAGCAATCCCACAAAGTCCTTCAGCTGCAGCAACATCTCTTTGCATTCTTATGTACCCAGCTTCGCCCCATTCTGCACCCCATGAGTTCTTCACTAGCCAATACTTAGTCCCATCCTCACTCACGCCATATCCAACAGCGGTAACACCATGGTCTAGACTCGTTCCACAAGTTCCGGTGAAGACACCACTTGAATAGAATTGGAAGTCGGAACCGCTAGCATCGATGGCAACGGAAACAGGTTGATGAGCAACAGCGGTTAGAAGGGCCTTTTCACTATTTGCCGGCACGTCCTCAAAGCCAGTTATCTTGGCTGCAATGATGGCTTCCTTCTTGGTGTTACATGTACCATCAACACCGTTGTAGGGGTAATTAGTTTCTGTGCTAATCCCGTGATTTTGTTGGATGAACTGGAACGCATCGTCCATAAAGCCACCCTCACAACCTTGGTCTTCCCCAGCAGTGTCACAATCAACGAGCTCTTGCTCAGACAAAGAGATCAAGTTACCAGTTGTAAGCTGTGTAATTCCTTCGGTGGCGGCTACTGCTGAAAAAGCCCAACAACATCCTGTATTTTGATTGGAATCAAAAGTAGTCAGATTATGGAAAAAATAAAAGATGAATATATATATATATATATATATATATATATATATATGTATGTATATGTATATATAGTGTTTCTCTAAATTAATGACAAGAAGCTAGAGGTTTTGTGTACTTACCGCACTGGCCTTGGTCCTTAACGGGGGTTACAGCTCCTTTCTTTCTCCAATCCATTGTTGCTGGTAATGGTACGGTCACATTTTCATATTTGAAAGAAGAAGCCTTTGTGGAACACTCATGGCCCTTGAATCCATTTCTTGTGGCTTTGAACTCTTCATTTGTAAGGTCAGCAAATTGGTTGACACTTAATTTGTAAGGTTTATTTGCATCTTTATTGGAAAATTCTATAAACGCCACATTTTCCTTGAATATCTTGAAACGAGTTTCCTTCTCATTGATGTCGTTATATACTCGACCATAAAGAGCCAACCATTGCTACATTGATGCATCTTTCAGACTGCGAGAAGTGGCTTCAGAGGACCAAGCTCCCAACATGAGGATCAAGCCCAAGCACATATACTTCCATAGCTGCAGGTTTAGGATCTCCATGGGTAGCTAGCTAGTGTGGTAGAAGCAAGCTGGATTTTGGTAAAGGATATGATGATGAGCAGATATACTGAAATGGTAGATTTGCTCTACGATTTATATACTACTCAGTGCCCCAAAAAATGATCAGCGTGGTACGTGCCTTGGAAAATATGTTGATATAGACCTATAAGATTATTTTTAGTAAATTGACATTCCATTTAATTTGGGACCTGATGCTTACCTTTTGTCCTTGTGTGCGTAATATATTTGTTCACATTGTGTTCTGAAATGTAATCGTGCATCGTCAACCATCTTGGATTTACTTTATTTAAGGATGGTTTGATAATCATTATTTTGTCTTTACTTCTGTTTTTATTCATTTGAAATAATCTTATATGGTAACTACATACAATTTTCAACTAAAAACCAAAAATTGAAATAAAAAGTTTTGAGAAAGTCCATGAAGAGTCTTCCTTTTGAGAGAGTTTTTGATAGACCGGGTAATTTCTTACACGACATGTTAACCTGATCGGAAACGACCCGAAAACAACGGATTGTCAAGGCGTTAACTAATCGGCTTGTTATCAGGTCACATGCTTAGAAAGGGGATAATGTTAGGACACCAAATTCTTTAAACCAAATTTGCAAACTAAATGATGTGATTGTTAATGAATGAATTATTACTTAGGCGTTGATTAACGTGCTTATTTCCTATTGATGACACATCATTTGGTTCAAAAATTTGGTCTCCCTAACATTACCCTAAAAAAGGACATTCATGTTCTCATTAATGAAAGTGCTATTGAGTCTGTGGATTCTTTGAATCCTTTTATGCATGCACGGGGAGTTTCTTCTGGCTGATAACAGTTCAACAACAGCTCGGTTGGGATCAAGGAATAGGCTCCACGGTTTGATTACATCCTTACTCAGAAGGCCTTAGTTTCTGTGGACAATGATGCACCCACCAACCGAGGGAGTAGGATTCTCGTTCCTCTATTTTTCTTTCTCTCATATTTGAACTGTCACAGTTAAACCATGTAAACATATTATATTAATTTTTTATAAAAAGAGAAAGACAAAATAAAGAATGTGAGAGAAGGAGATGGAATGAATAGAGCAAGTCCACCGGAGTGGACATTGCCTAACACCCAGTCCAAAAAGCAGCCCAGCACCCTGTCCATTTACTCCAGCCCGCAAAACAGCCTGGCACCCAGCCCGTGCTGGTCTCTGGGCCAGCCCAAAACAGACTGACCAAGAAGCCGGGCAGTTTGCTGGCGCGTGCATGTCACGGGGCCCGTTGCGCGAGTGCCCGACAACATTTCAGATGCGGGGCCCTGTGCGCAGGCGCACTCATACCACAACCCGAGTAGGCAACGTGGCCCACTTTTAGCCGTTGGATTTCCAATGACTATTTTTTGTAGACCATTGGATTTCCAACGGTAAAAAAAAAATTTAAATTTGACTTTTAAAATGGACCGTTCGATCACAGATTAATGGTCCACGTTTTTTTCACAAAAAATAAAAAAAAATAAAAAAAAGGCCCAATGTTCAGAAATATGACCGTTGGCCATGTGGCAACTCCCTGGCTCTTGGATTTGAATATTTTTCAAATCCAATGGTCCATATTAATTAACTATATTAAAATTAATTAAAAATTATAAAAAAATATAGAAAAATTATTAAAAAATACAGAAAATTAAAAAAAAATATAGAAATTTTTTAAAAATGTTATTTTTTTTCTATAAATACCTAACCCTCATCTTCCACCTTTACACCACATTTCAAAATATTTTTGGACATAAAAAAAAAAGAGATGTCATGTGAAGGAGGCGTGCAAGAGATGCGGAAACAAGTCAAGGGGGTTCTAGCTACACAAATCATGGCAACCAAGATCCTAGCACCACATATCCTAACTCCAGAGACTTTGTATAATTTTTATGTAATTGTTTATTTTTTTAGAATTTTATTTAATTTCTTATGTAATTTTTATGTTTTTTTCATTTTTTTTCTTTTGAACTTTATTTAATTTCTTATGTAATTTTTATGTTTTTGCTTTTGAACTTTATTTAATTTCTTATGTTATTTTTAAAACTTTATTTATTTATATTTAATTTATTATGCAATTTTAATGCAATTATTTATTTATTTTTGTACTTTATTTAAACACATGAAATAAGATTACATAAACTCACCAAATAAGATTACATAAACTCACCAAATAAACTTAAAAACAAAACACATTACATAGAATTACATAAACTTAAAAAAAAAAAAATACAATTTATTCTTCAACCACAAACCTCATTTAATTATCTTTGCCTTCATGCAATCCCCACTGGTGCTCAATCAAGTCATTCTGGCGGGTTACGTGCCTGTATGGCTCTTGCACATTAGTGTACCGCTAAACGATCAATTCATTGTAACGTCCATCGTGTTCCAACGGCTCGTGTTGCACGGGATCTTCAGTCTGGTCATGAGCACAATAGATACGTGTTCTTGAGTTGTTCATCGGATCCGGCTCATATTCATCGACGGCATCATAATCATACTCATCTTTAACGATCATATTGTGGAGAATAATACACGTCATCATGATGGATCGAAAAGCCTCGACATCAAACATTCTAGCTGAAGCCCTGACAATCGCCCAACGAGCTTGCAGGATACCAAAACAACACTCGACATCCTTCCTACACCTTTCTTGACATTTTGCAAAGTGTTTTTCCTTTTCAGTCTGTGGATGTGGCACTGTTTTGACAAATGTTGACCACCTTGGGTAAATGCCATCTGCAAGGTAGTATGATCCCTTGTATTGGGTACCATTAACCCAATATGTGCATCTCGGCGATTTTCCTTGCAGCAGTTCGTCGAACACTGGGGATTGGGCAAGGATATTTAGGTCATTCTGAGCTCCTGGAACACCAAAAAAAGCATGCCAAATCCATGTATCAAATGAAGCCACCGCTTCCAAAATGATGCTTTTGGCTCATTTTTTGTCGTCATAAGCTCTTTGCCACGCACTTGAACAGTTTTTCCAAGTTCAGTGCATGCACTCGATGCTTCCAATCATGCCAGGGAAACCTCGCATCTCACCATTCCTTAGAAGCCTTCGCATGTCCCTTGGCGTGGGTGTCCGGAGGTACTCATTGGTGTAGAGGGCTTCAATTGTAGAGCAAAACCGCATTAGGGACTCCAGAACAGTTGTTCTTCCTATCCTCGCGATCTCATCCACTTGATCTGCAGATGCTCCATATACAAGCATTCGCAAGGATGCCGTAATTTTTTGCTCGGGAATAAGATCTAGAACATGAAAAGCATCATCTTTTTACACAAAGTATGGATCATGGTTGCAAATAGCACTTATGATTTTGTCGAACAAATTTCATTGCATTATAAAACGACATCTAAAAACATGATAAGGGAATATGCTGTTGGGAATAAAATAATCTTCCAAGAGATCTTTACCTCATCTTTCCCTTTTTCTATCGAGGTTTGCAGCACGTCTTGGTTTGGCTATCTGACCCACGGCTTCCATGACACGACGGGAATGTGAGGCCCTCTGCCTTAAATGGTGATCATCCTTATCCTCCTCCATGAAGAAAGCCTCATCTCCACCTCCACCTTCCTCAAGATTGGCCAATTCTGCCTGTTGTGCCAACAACCTTTTCTGTTGCTCCTACAACTGTTTACACTCTCCTTGAAGAAGACATTGTAATAAGAACTCAAGATTTGAAAATGATGAACATGGATTCTGAGCTAAAAAGAAGGATTGAGCTTGGTGTGAGGATGGATGTAGGGTTGTAGGGTTTATATGGACAAAAAAAGAAAGGATGAGGTTCTGGACAATGCCACGTGGCACTACGTGATTGGTTGAAAATCTTATCGAAATCTTGGCTAAATTATTGTAAACCGGAAGTGGCACATGGCGTGTTGGGATTGGTAAAAAATATTATTGAAAATCTATCCACAAAATAGTATGTTCGGATAATGACACGTGGCATGACGTGATTGGTTGAAAATCTTATCAAAATCTTGGCTAAATTATTGTAAAACGGAAGTGACACGTGACGCATCGGGATTGGTTGAAAATCTTAGTGGAAATCTATTCACAAAATAGTATGTTCGGATAATGACATGTGGCGTGACGAGATTGGTTAAAAATCCTACCCGAAATTAAAACTATTTTATTTTTTTAGAAAAAATTTAAAAATATTTTAAATGGGCTGGGTGCTAGCGCATTTTGTAGGGATGGAGATCGTTTGTGCCAGCACATTTTTTCACTGGGTGCCAACGCATTTTTTTAGGGGTGGAGATTCATTGGCCTATTACTGTTCATTGAAGTCTGTTACTGTTCACTGAAGTGGATAAATGGGCTGGGTGTTGGCACAAAGTCCTTAGGGGTGGACTTGCTCTCAGACCTACAGTTGACATTTTAGTAACTGCTAATGCATACTTTGTGCGACCAGAGTTGCGTCAGAGCAATTAAAAGCGGAAACACCACTTGCGCCAGAGTTGCACATGTTCTTATTTCATTGAGAAAACATCACTTGCGGTATACTTTTACCATGTATGTTCTCCATCAACACCTATCCCTTGACTAATATCGAAAACACATTGGTCGGTGGTTAGTCCACATACCCTCTAATGACCACTGTTATAGGACTGACATGAAATCTTCTTCTCCGACATCAATGAAAAACAGAAATAGGTAGATTAGCAAGCCTTGAGAAGGATTTGTAAGAAATTTCTGAAATCATAAGAAAAACAAGACATTAGGATTACAGATTTGATAAACCAAAATTACAATAAATTAATTACAATTTACTTATCTTTAGCATACGGAAGACATGACTCTTGCGGAAAGAGTCTTCTACTTTCAACAAGCGAAAGTGTTTCAGCAATAATAGGGTTTGCACGGAATCGAATGTGTGTTCTGAAAGCAGGGACACCCTTATTATAGTGATTAGGGTTCCTCCAATCTCACTGGTTATAGTAATTGGAGGAATACACCAAATCACCATTTAATCTTAATGGTGTCCCACGAAGGCATATACAATTATGTCTTACTTAATTAGGGTTTCAATTAGTTAACTAATATATCTTGGTTCCATAATTCTTACTAACCAATATTGAATTACGTTAAAAGTCAAATATCTTGAAGATCAAGTTATTTGCCTTTTAAATAATTTGATTCATAATAATTGACAACTCAACATGAGTCTTACAGG